ATTTTTGTGTTTTTACCAATGGTAAGATTCATGTACACAAACAATAATTATGAAAATTTTCTAACATTTGTTGAAATTGGGATTAATATGTCAGCAGTTTGAAGACAAACCTGATGCCATTTTCAAGAAGTTGTGATTAACTTTGTGTCCACATATATGCAATAATATTTCTCAACTGGAAATTTGCTGCATGACAGATTGACTGGTGAAGAATCATTTTATAAGTGCCGTAATCTGCAGATTTAAATTTTGGATTTCTTTATATTGGATTTTGTGGAACATGAAATTTACTACAAGATATATTTTTCTCCAAATGTAATTGCATTTAAGGAATAGTTATGGACAATGATTACCAAGGCTGAGATTTTTATTTGTTGCAGAATATTTACAAGAATATTGATGTATATAGGACATTGAATGGAACACACTTTGCACTTCAGTTATTTATGATAAACATCCTTTTTCTACTAATGTTTAAAATTGCATAATTAAGTTATTTCAGTTTTTACAGTACTTTATACTTTTGAAACCATATTTTTATTACTATGCATATGTAGCTAGAACTATTTCTAAGAATTATCAGCACAAAACCTTTCTCACTAATTTCTAGCCTTATTAACAGGAGTACAAATGTTTTCGGCCTTCTTAATAGGCCTTCCTCAGGTACACTGTGGAGCGTCCACAGTGTACCCGAGGAAGGCCTATTAAGAAGGCCAAAAACGTTTGTACTCCTGTTAATAAGGCTAGAAATTAGTGAGAAAGGTTTTGTGCTGATAATTCATATTTTTATTATTACTCACATCATAGTTACCTTACACTATTAGATTCATTTACATAACAAAATAAACATTTATAATAAAAAGCATCATAATATTTATTTACTTTGACAATCTAAGATGCATAAATATCATACTTGAAAATATTATTCTACTGGGTATGAATCAGATTCAAAATGTATATGCTTTGCAGTTTAGGTTGAATGGAATATATTACTATTATTATTATTGTTTTTAATAAATACATGATTTTCCATAAAATGTATTAATTTTGATTGATTTATTTATGTAATGGTTTATGACAATTTTAACAATGCACTCACCTATTTAACAATTAAAAAGAATGCTATCATTTCAAATTATTGTAGTTATGTTAATTATTATCCAAGAATGTTGTAATGTACATTAAAACATTGAAAACTGTCCGAGTTTACATTTGCCCATTACAATTTCTCAATGTGTGCACACCTCGTATCATGGCAAATAGAATTTGAGTATCAGTTGGCACGGCACAGTATCCAACCAATACTCAAATTCTTTCTATACTTGTTACAGCTTATCCATTGTCACTTCTCTCATAGCAGACACAATTTCACAGTTCTTCCAGATTACTCGTGTTGCAAAATGATGAATGATGAGTGCAGAACAATGCAAAATGCTTTCTCTATTTCAGAGTTGCCATTTTGTTTATGTTAGTAGTTGACAAGACGTTTGGATGCAGATGAGAATTGAAACTCAGAGTTATTCTATTGACTGGTGTACATCACATACTCCTCAGATAATAATTAACATAATTCCAGTAATTTAAAATGGTAGCATTCATTTTGGAAGACCCTGTATATTATTTTTAACTATATACCATATATAATTTTAATTAATAAAGTAATTTGAGATCACTAGGCTCTTGGTGATTTGAAATTATCTTATTAATATTTAATATTTATATTTTATTTACAGTTTCTTAGAATATGATTTTAACATGATAAAATGAAAACACGGAAATATTTATAAAATTGAAATTATTATTAAGTTGAAGATCCAAATATTCTGTAGAAAGCTTTAAACTATGAAATATATTATAAAAATTTTCATTAAATTATGGTTATATTTGTCATAATATACATTATTATTTATGTATTAATATGACAAATAATTAATATTAAATAATTATGATTTATATTAAAAAAATAAAATTTATATAACTATTGATTATATAAATTAAAAGGCTGTTCTATAACCTAAATGCATAGAATGAAGTATTAGTCACTTATCTGTAGGTTGGATGACTAATACTTAAAGATTATTTTTTTAAAGTCAATGAAAATATTCAATAATACAAATAAACAAAATATTAAGTTTAAAAGCATGATTGATAGCACCTTTTCTCTTTGTAACAGGAAATAAAATGTTATTTGTCATGTTTTGAAAAGCTAGTTTTATATTATTATAAAATTTCACTTAAATAATTTAACTAATACATTAATATGATAAATAACAATGATAATTTATTTAAAACATTTACAGAATTTTTAAAAAATTATATATATATATACATGTCTCAAAGCCAAACACTTTATAACGAAACCAAATGACTACCGGATTTAAATCAAGCTACCTTACCTCTACAATTAATAATTTAAATACTGAGTAATTATTAAAGTAGTTTGATTTAAATTATTTGTTTTATTAAGAAATTATAAAGGAATTTTGTCATATTTTAATTCTTTTTAAAAACGTTTCAAAGAATAATAAGATGTTTATGTTATGACATGAAGTATACATCTTACAATAGACCTTTCCTTGTAAGGTACTGCAGGAGGTGGACTTTTATCCTCCCTTTAGTTGGTTTCTGTTGGAATTGCCCACAATTAATTTACGTAATAGTAAATATTTATAAAACTTTTATAAAATTATAAGTAAAGGGCTCCTCATATTTTAATTTCTTAAAAAACAAAAGCATTTCAAAGAACAATAAAATGTTCAATTTATGACAAAAAAGTGAACGTTTTATTAATTGAAATATTTATTTATTTATACAGGTGATGTCACTAAAACAATAATACCACCCTAAATAATGAACAATAAATGAATCCCATTAAAATATGTAAAATAATATGTTATTCTTTATTTAATAAAAAGTAATGATAGTAAGTGATGATATAAAATATGGAATATTCACTAAACAACTTTTTTAATAATTTTTTTCTTGAATGAATATGATTCAGCTTATGATTAATATAGTATGATGTAATAATATGCAATTAAATGCAAAAATCTTCATATCTTCTAGTTTAAATTTTGTTTCGCTGAAGGTCATTGAATAATTATTTGATAAAATATTGAGTTTAAATAATCTGCTAAATTTTATTGGGTTAATAACTTAGTAATTTGGATTCAACAGTATTGAATTATATTAACATTGGTTTTCTACATTATACTTTCATTATCATATAAATTGCCTGAAAATTTCATCAGATAAGGTCTTATAGTTTTTATTTTATAAAAATAGTACAGTACATGCATTTATATCCTGTGTTATTAAGAAAATGTTATAGTCTAAATTTTTTAATATAAATATATAGATTGATTATTTAATTGACAATGTTAAATACAGAAATGATTTTTAAAAATTTGTATTTAATGTTTTATCAAAGCATAAAGTCTAGAAACATAAATAATAATACAGTGGATTGGTCTTAAAATGAACACTGATAAAGCAAAGTTTTGCTTTAATGCATGAATTTTGATGTTGCCCTGGCAAAATGCCATTGTCTCAATGTTAATTTTTATGCAATAAATTGAACAAAAATTATACCAAAATTTGTTAAACCAAATTGTAAATTATCTTTATAACCCCAAAGATATAATCCTATATCCAATAATGGTTGCTTGTTACACTTTTCAGTGTGAACGATAAAATGTGATATTTATTAAATGTTCCATTTTGAGTAGAATAATTCTCTTCCTAGTGAGCAAAGATGGGTTCATTCTCCAATTATATGCAAAAAGTTTATTACCATCATGCCTCTTTAACAAAATACTGTAAACAATTCACATGTCATTTATCACTAACAAGTAAAAAGGATAACAAACCTGGATTATACAGTAATTCAAACATCTGGTTTTAGCAGACCATTCTGCTGTACTCTGAAAATAAGAGTTAAAGTTTAAGGGCACCCACTCCTTTAAATAAATGCAATCCCATGCAAACATGCACTAATTTGCATTGATTTTAAAATTATTTAGAACATTAATATGCTTTTGTAAATAAATTTTATTTTATTTAACTTTATTTAGTAAATTAATTCAAAATGTTTTAATTTAGAAATTTCAATCACCTACTAAACCTTAACTCTCTAAATTATACAACCTTGACTTTGATCCTGAAAGTCTTTTAAGATGAATTTTTGATAAAGCAAACTAATTAGTGTGTTTCCCTAGCGATTTGTATTAATGCAAGGTGACTGTATTTTATTTTAATAATGAAGGGAATGAGTCATTAGCAATGCATTGAACTATGCAATACTAATGAGGGACAATGCATTGAACATGTTATGTATTGTAATGTAAATGACCCATTTATTATGTGTATTCACCTATGTTTCCAGACTTTATTGTATCCCTGTATTCTTATACAAATAAATTCCAATGGTTCTGAGCTTTTATGCTTATCAGAAATTGCTTCATCAATTAGACATGTATGAACAGTTTTTGCTCTACATTTTACAAACTTAACCAGATAGATAACTTCATTCATACCTGTTCTATCAAAAATGAAATGTGGCAACTGTATAATGCTACCTACAGTTATTAATTTACATAAATGTTTTGTATCAAATGTGTATAATTTATGATGTAATACAGTTAAAGATAAGTATAAAAACTTGAAAATAACTGGGATTATTTGTGTAAGAATAAATTTATATTCTGATAAAGCAACAAGTAATTTTTATTTTTATTTTGAAAACCAGAGCAGTAGTCATTGACATGATAATTATTCAGGAATTGAAGACAGAGAAACTTCAACTNAATAAATCCTTAAATTAACATTTAAATCGTCGATCAAAATAATGTTTAGTTTAATTAATAATAAATAAACAAATAGATAGATAAATAAATTCCGTTGGAAATTCAAAAATTCTTTCTTGTTTTAAAATCCTGCTTTTATTAAGGAAAATTACAGGGAAAAATCCCTATGTTTTCAGAATGTGAAAGCGCGCGTGAAATGACGTCACGCCATTGAGAATATGGCGGATTGTTGGTAGATGTGTGTTATCCAGTGACTTTTATGAACTGGAAAATGGAAATATTTTTTACTTAATATACGTTTTGTATGATTTAATTTGTCGAAGTGATTTCATTTTTATTATTTATCACGTCGGATTTATCGTTTAAACAGTGAATATCGGATTATTTAAGTGTTTTTTTTAATTTTTTTTTGTTTTGTTTTGTGCCTAGTGTTGAAGTGTGAAATCGATTAATTTTTACTTTACCATGCGGATTATTGCCAATGTACAATGTATTAGATATATTTATCGTCATATAATGTTATAAAGCCGACGAGATGTCTTTCTTTAGTAATTTCAAGAAGATTTTTAGCATAGGAGGAACTGGAAGTGAAAATAAGAGGAAGAGACTCTATCATAATATTAGATTTAATGAAAATCCTGAGGATTTTTGGAGTATTGTTGGTGAATTAGGAGATGGAGCCTTTGGGAAAGTATATAAGGTAGTATTTAATTTATTCATTTTAAATATAAATTAATATCTGAAAAATATCTATAAGGTTGCAGGTTATCATATTGTTTCTTTTTTATTATAAATTCACTTTGATGAAATGTAATAAATGAATAATAAATTCTGTATAATCTTCTTTATTCGGTTTTAAATATCAAAGGGTATAAATATCCATCACCGAGACAAATTACGCTTCAATCATTTCTATACACCGACATGATTAAAATGCTAGCTTACGTACCGATAGTTTCAATTGAAAATAATTTAAATAAATCAGATATACACTTAAAATGTAATAAATTTTATATGGTTTTAAATGTACAATGTTACGATAGGTTTGTTTACATTTTGAATTTTATATTTATTAAATACATATGCTTTCTGTTACAGTTTTATTTAGAATCTTCAGTTAAATTTCAGCATTTTTAATGAAATAAATATAATAAACTATGATTTTTTGCCTTTAAAAATCACAGTTATGATATACCCTATGAGGTCTTAGTAAGCCAGTGGAGGTCTTGGCAAATCTGATTAGGCCTTTATTTTATTTACATAAATGTCTGCTTTAACTGATTATTTATTAAAGCCATTTATACAATATTTTAAAGATATATATGCTAGTTTATTAAAAATAAATATTGTTAGTGCAAATTCATAATTTTAAAATACTTAAGATAAATTATAAAACTGGAGAAGTGTGCATAAATGTTTTTATATGTAGAAGATTGTAGATCTTTAATCTCTGTTGTTATGCCTTCTTTATAGTTTTTCTTTTTTATTGATTAAAAAAAAATAGCATTTTTTATATAAAATAGCTTAAGAATATTTTTGTAATTAACTAAAGTGAGTTTTTTTTTAATTGTACGGTATTACAAAGTGTGATGAATCACATCATAAGGACAAGCTTGGTCAATAGTAAAACATGTTAGGATTTAGAAAACTTATGAATCATTACTAATAAATTCAGCAAAAAATACGTTTATTTTGTAAAATAATTATTACTTTCATTAGTTGTAGTTGACCAAAAAGGAAAAACATTTTATGCTTTGTTTCTTTTTTTATATAAATTCTCAAGTATTTGGTCAATTATTATTGTGAATATTTAATGGTTTAGCAGTTTTAAGATTTAAAGGAAGTTTTAATAATTAAAAATCATGTTAAAAAAATGTTCATGTAAAATGAACATTTTTATTAATATAGTTTTTAAATTTTTAATTACTTATTTTGAATATTTTAATTTTAAAACTGTATATTTTTTATGAATATGATTTATTTTATACTCTTACTTCACTATGAAACATATTATGCAGATCTTACAGTTATTACATGGAAATTTTGTGATGAAAGCTTTAATGCTTTTTAATTGGCTAAGAAAATAGCATTCAATTTGTCGATTTAAAAATAAAATTTATGTGATTTTCTCGGCCAAGAAAATCACATAAATGGAGTGAAAAAATCACATGAATTGGCATCATGAATTTTATGAATATTCATCTCAATTAAAATTTTTAATTGTGTAACTCAAAATATTGAATTTGCATTATTTTGCTTGTTCTTTTCTTAGTTTTTATATCATTATTTATGTAAATCATTTTTACATATTTATTATTCTGTCCAATAGCATGTTATGAAACATGGAATTGAAACGCTGCCAACTTAAAAAGATAGGGTAGAAGAATGATAAATATATTTTTTTATACCTTTACTATATCTGTAGTAAGAAGATATAAAAAAGCTATCATTGTAAATCAAGATTTAACTTTTGGAAACAGAATTTTGTGTCTAAACAGAATAAAATGATATAAAACAAAAACATAGTAACAAATAAAACTTAGATAAAATCATAAGAGAAATTTATAAAATGATCAAATATATAAAAGAAAAATTAACTCTATAGTTTAGAAAATCTACTCTTTTGTTATTGGAGTCTTAAAAATATAGTTTTTTCATATGGGACTTTAAAACTATATTTTTAAGACCTCAATAAGCAGAAGAGTAGAGTAAGAAGAATATCAATTTGAATAGTATTAAAAGCAGAAAATAGTATAATATAACTTGCAAAGGAGAAACTAGCAGAATATGTAAACATTTTTGTTTCTTTTAAAAAATAATTAGTGTTGAAATTTAAGTAAAGATCACTATGTAGGAGTAGAGTGAGGATAAAGATATAAAATGAAGGGAAAGAAGGATAGTATACTTGTCACATTGACTGTCTTGACTGATAGGGAATTGATACCAAATCAGACAATAAACAGTAACATAAGTGCATGGATCTACAAGATCAAAGATCCATTGTCTAAATAAGGAAAAATATAGCATCATAAGAGTAGAGTTAGTGAAGAATATTTAGTCACTTATTCCTGAAAGTAGAGGCTGTAAAAACCAGATGTGTTACTCTTAAGATGACTGAGTCAGATAGGAAGACAGATGCTGGCAGTTTCTACACAAATATATCACAGGTATAGAAAAGATAATGGAACTGATAAAGGAAATATATTACACTTGATTGTTATTAATATAAATGAGATGCTTAATTAGATTTTGTTAAATTTTAAGATATAATCAATATTTGATTAAGATTTATGCAAAGTAAGAAACCATGTATTTTAATTTTATTTTATCTGAAGACAAACAAATATACATTAAAATATCAGACACTTTTCAATATGGGATAAGTGTTTATTCTGAAACTCTAAAGCATTTCAGTATTTAAAATTTTTTATAATGATTTTTAATATATATTTAGTGTTATTTGTCAAATAGTTTACTTTAATGTAACTAAGAATTAAATATAAATTTCATGAGCCCTGTGAAAAATTTTTTTCGTTATTCTTTGTCAGGTTTTATGTAAAGATATAAAATTACATTACAATAGGCTTTCAAAATTCAGATAATAAAATATTGTCATTACATGCAGGTAGATAATAAAACTTAGAGGGACAATGATTCATTATATTCTCCAAGAAAATGGATATAAGTATAGTGATATTTCTATACATTGTGATATAAAATAATTGAGCACAAGGAAATTCCTCAGTAAATTTTTTGTACTAAGAAAAGATATTTTTCTGCTTCAAAATCCAAATTTGAGATAGGGATTTTACAATAAATTTTTTCTTTATACCATGTACTGTACTTAAAGAAGATAATTATAATAGAAGAGCTTTAATTTTAAAAATTTATGTGAATTCCATTGAAACTACATAATTTTAATTGAATAAACATGAACAGTTCAGTAATTGAATGCATATTAAAATATATTTTAGCAGTTTTAAGTCTTTAAAATGATATCATTAGTATTTAGATCTTTTTATATAACCCAAAAACTTGCATAAAGTATTTTAGAAACTTTTTGTAAGAGATTGATTTCCAAAAGTTTAATAATTCTTGAAATTAATAATTATTTAGCATTAATTAACACTTATGAAAATATAGATACAGATATCCCTTTGAGAACATGGCACTTGTACAAGATGGTTTGAAAATAGAGGATATTTGCTGTATGACACGATTTCCGGTTTTGCTCTAACACAGTTAGAGAATTTGAGAAATCCTTCATTCAGAATTTCACAACTTTTAAGTGCAAACTCCATTACTTGAGATATTTTTGTTCAAGTAAGCATGCATGCTGTCTCAAATTTTTCTATGGATTTTAAAATATTGAAATTTTCAATTGATTTTGTGCCTTTCATCAGGTTTAGTTTAATGAAAACTGGTAGAGCAATTTGTTTCCTTCTTGTCCTAGCTTTCCTATCAACCAAGTGTGCCTTTCAGATTCTCACATTTGCAGTTATATATTTAAGTCTTTGTACTTTATACATAATTGAAATTATCTGAAGATGTTATAATTGTTATGTTAATGTGACATTATAATTATGTTTGTTAATAAGCTAAAGACATTATAATTATATCTTCAGTTTGATATCATAAAGTAGTCAACATCCCAATTATATATACATGTTTTATTATAAGCATATAAAAAATACTTAAATGATTTTTAACTGGTGAGTTGTTATCATTTATAATGTTTAACACTGCATAATTTATAATGAAAAATGAGAAATAACAGTTATGATTCTTGTTCTTCTTTGTAATAGTTAAATTTAAAACTTATAAATATTAATTAAAAGTAAAATTTAATAATAAGTGTTTAGAGAAATTATGTTGCAGATAGAATTCGGAAATAATTTTTAAAACTATGTTTCTTCTAATATAGTGTCGTTTGATATGAGTAATTATAAAATTTTGTTTAAAAAGAGTAAGTATTGTTTTAAAGAATAACTCAGAGTTTTATTCTGTTTATCACAAGAAGTAATTTCCATTTTTGTCAATAGAATTCATTACAGACGTTGAAATGGTAACGTAGCATAAAAGATGTTTTATACTACAAAATTTCATTGACTAGGATTTATAACTGCACATTGATGATTCAGAAGAAAATTCAACAAGGAACTATGAATTCAAAAAGAATTTATAGCTCCTTATTGAATTTTCTTTTGAAGTAGTATTGACAAATTATCAATGCATGTTATATCTATAAGAAAAAGTTCAAATAGATAACAAGCATCAAGGAGGAAACAGTTGATGTTTTATAGCAGGTTTACCAGTGAAATCTGATAAAGTTAGCATATTGCACTTGTCAAGAGTTGAATTTATAACATCAAAATGAAATGCTTTGCTTTCTGGCTTTATTGTCAACAATTATTGTGATATATATATATCTAACAATAAACAGTTACATTTTAGATATTTTTATAATAAGTTGACTGATATTCTGACTGTTATGAAATATCTGTTTCATTAATCAGGCTATGTTTTACATTTATGAAGAGTTTGGTAATTAAAATGTATGTATTTGAGAAAGTAAAGAATCTTACATCATGATTAAACATGCAAAAGACTACTAAAAGATTTTTGTGTTTTTACCAATGGTAAGATTCATGTACACAAACAATAATTATGAAAATTTTCTAACATTTGTTGAAATTGGGA